AACACTGCAAGAGTCACTTTCGTGGTTACTAGTGAGTGAGTAAGTTTGACGCCTCCAGGACATCACACAAGTGATAAACACCCGGTGACACAAAGTGCCACCATGCGGATGAGAATCACACGTGGAGAGGTCCCAGAAACCCCGTTCAGTCGTCAGGTTATATTAGGGCACACTGCAACTGCTAGGGTAGGGCTGTAAAATGAGGAAAAATTGCATCCCACAAGGGGACGACGGTTAGGGAATAGATTCATGGCTTCTTGGTGGCGAGCAAAGCTATTTTATCTGGCGCACGTAAACCTAGTCACAATTATAACCTAAAGCCCCCCCCCCCCCCCCCTTGAGGATCCTGATTTTTGTTCTTCAGCTAACCAAGCCAGCGAAGTCTGCCCCGAAGTTGGTGCAAAATTTACTTGACGCACTGGAGTGTGTCTGTGTAACGTACCCTAGTAAATTTGGCGACCTAATACTTTGAATTCCGTCGACAGAGTTTCCGACATACGACTAACTTCGCCTGATCATTCTTCAGATGCGGCTTCAGATGTCGGCCCGCAGATGTGATCCCACGTGTCTCAGAAACGATCCCAAGTCGTGTCTGATCGGGGCATTGCTGCTATTCTTGTTTCTGACGGTCACAGTGTTTTACAGCGACACTGTATGTAGGTATTATTATTATTAATACTGTTGTTAGTACTATCATGTCCCCTTGTGGGTTCCGGGGCTCCCATTGTGGGGAAAACAAGAATAGACCCAATGCCTGCCCCCAAAAAGCATGTCGTAAAAGTCGACTAACTAGGTGCTCCCTTCGAAGTCGGAGTGCATCAGCTTTAAAGGCAAAGAACCTACAGTCTGAATACAGATGTCAGATGTGTAAAACGGATGTGCACGCAGCACTTAGGTTCTGGAACAAGACCGAAGGAGGACGATAATTCACAACTTTCCGCCGGAGTTAACAGCCGGTGACCGCGAAAAAAAAAGGAGGTGGAGGAGGAGGAGGCAGAAGAAGATGATGTCATTTTAGCTCTGGAGATTGCGGAGTTCCGTTTTGTTTAGGTTGTGATAACATGATAGTAATTTAAACTGTACCTCTGTTGCACGGCAATGCCACGACACATACGGACGACTAACCCCAGCAATGATACGACTGCAGAATTTGGTCTGACATTATTACCACATTTCCCCCCTTACAGTCCCAATCTTGCACCTGCAGACATCCATTTGTTCGGGCTACTGAACGAAGATCTTCACGAACATCACTTTGAGAAAACACCGAGCCACTAAAACGTCCCGTTGCAAATTGTTTAAGATGAAGGACACAGATTGTTACCGTGCGGGGATTTATGCCCCTTTTGAAAAGATGAACAACAACGGTTACAAGTAACGGAATGTTGAATAAAGAAACGAAACCATAGCACTCGAGATACTCCCATAAGCGCCCCGTCCCCATCTTCAGCAGCAAGCGAAGAGTTCAAATTTCGATGGTACCTGTAACTGCCCGGTTGTACATCCATCTCGCCTTTTCCTTTAAGAGCGTCGGCCAGATCCCCTGGTAACTCCCTGCAGCGCCGTTCTCCTCAAACCTTAATGGTCTGTCTGTGTCACCGCACTGTTTACTCGCTCCCAAAGGACTCTCACAACCTCCTGCTTGTCACATCAAGTGGTGCTGAACCAGCTAGTCTATCCTGCAATGCTTCTTCCTTGCACACGGGCGTCCGAGACCTAATCACAACAACAACAACAACATTCCAGAAACAACAGTCGTTCACAGAAAAGAGTTGTGAAAAGAAAGCTGTGCAGTTTCGTTAACCCGAACTGCCTTTCCGTACGCTGTGCATAGACATCTTAGGTTAGTTCCACGTTAGTCTCCCCATTTACACATTCTCACACACTAGCTCACTTCTGATTGGTCGACCTTGAGCCACGCTTCCTTGTCACAGTGACGGAAATTTTCCGCAATACCGTAGATATCGCTTGTTCTATATTTCAGCCCGCAGCGCTTTTAACAATCCAAAAACATGGAAACACTAGGTCTAACACAACCCTCTAAAGAGTGCTGACACCTATGTCACAAGTATTTTCTTTCTCGGAATGAAAACGTTAATGCAAGACAGCAAGAAAGCCAAACAAGAGAGCGAGACACACCCGTAACCTGCAGGAAAGTAGACTAGGCGAACAAATTTGTCAATTAAAAAACTAACCTACTTTGTTTGGATAGACTAACGTCGAACTAAATGACGTCTTTTAACACCCCTACAACATAAAAGATCCCGTGGAAACCGGTACAAAATCTCGCCGTCGACGATATGGGGTGACTTTCGTGAGTAGTGCCGGGGGGGGGGGGGGGAGGGGTCCAAGATACCTGAGCTCCCAGAATGTGGCGCCTGTGTCCCCACGACGAGCTGGTTATAATGTCTCCTATCTCGGCCTCAAAGCAGGTCTGCCAATGGGATTTTTTTGAAAAACCCAGCTGATCTGAACAAAAACCCAAGCAATACAAAGACAAAGAAAAAAAAACGCAGATTGCTAAAATGTACAAAATTTATTTTTACGAAACGAAACATTTATCACTTTTATATAAGGATATATATTTAACCCCACCCCCCCCCCCCTTTTTTTTTTCCAGATTTCCCCCAGGTGTCAAATAAAAACCCAGATCTGGGGGGAAAACCCAACATTGAGAGGCCTGCCTCAAAGTCGGCACAGACGGGCCTTGACCATGCTTTACTCCTATCTCACGCAGTGTGCTAGTATCAGAGATTCGTCGTTCTCCACAAGCCAAGTCCGTACAGCGCTGGTCATATCTGCTCTGTCCACGCTTCTTCCCACCTGCGTTAGTACATTACTAAAACGTTGCTTGCTAGTTGGTTTGTGGATGGCTATAACTCTTCCTGTTGCAAACAGTAACGTTATGTGATACACTACTGTCAGTTTATGGCCTACTTTAGATCTCAAGTAGGTCAGGGTTAGCGCGTACCTTGAATCCTCATTAGGTAAGTTCGACGTTAGTTTCCCCAAATAGAGTAGCTCAATTTCCATTTACTAGTTTGTTCGGCTGGTCGACTTTCCTGGAGGTTACGGGTGAGTCCCGCTCTGTTGTTTGGTTTCTGCGATGGCTTGCATTTAGGTTTCGAAAAAGAGAATGCTTTCGACACAGCTTGCAGCACTCTCAATAGGAGTTGTGTTAGACCCAGTTTCTCCATGTTTTTAGAGTGTTAAAAGCGCTGGCGTGTTAAAATATACAACACGCGATATCAACGGCATTGCGGACCCCCCCCCCCCCCCGTAACCTTGATCGAAGGTCACGAGGCTAAGGAACTACCAATCAGAAGTGAGCTAGTGTGTATATGGGCGGGGTCTGGAGAGACTAACGTCGAACTAACCCATCATATGTGCTGTTAACGTCAGAGTCTAGTCCTCCATTCCCTTCTCTTTTGTGCAATCCTTTCCATGTCATTGATGGAATCCGGCCGAGCGCCCTTTGGCCTCTCTCAGCAACATTCTTCTCATTGTTTCTCTTGTACGTCCTTGTTTCTCTTGTTTCCTCAGTCCATTTGATTCCTTTTTCAGGGCCTGCTTGGTGATATCTCGTACCATACTGTGTGTTATTATATGTCTCAAGTTTGTCTTGGGTATGCTGAAGAAATGTCGCAAAATATTTTAAAATTCAGTTCACTGTATACTGTACCTCTAAAGGAATATACTAAAGCTTTTCTGTCACTGTAGTTATTGTGCCAGATTGGACTTTTTCTGCGAAATCAAAGGAGAGTGAAAGAGACGATGGCCAGCGAGACATGACATGGACTATAAGAGGGAAACAGGGTTAGGTTCACGTTAATCTCCACAAATAGAGTAGGTCACTTTTCATTCACACGTTTTGTAGGCTGGTCGACTTTCCTGAAGGTTAAGGTGTGTCCCGCTCTATTGTTTGCTTTCTGTGACGTCTTGTATTTACTTTTCATTCCGAGAAAGAAAATGCATGTGAAAAGGTTGCAGCACCTTTTTAAGGGAATTGTGTTATGACCAGTTTCTCTGTTTCTGGAGTTCTAAACGCGCTGGCATGCTGAAATATACAACACGCTATATCAACGGCATTGCGGAACACTCCCATAACTTTGTGCCAAGGTGACTGGTTCGGGAACCACCTGTCAGAAGTGAGCTAGTGTGTATGTGGGCGGGGCGTGGGGAGACCAACGTTACTTTTACCGAAAAAAGTTTAATCATCATCATAATCATAAATCAGTTCTACCGTTTAGCGTCGTTTGGAGGAACTATTTGCGATCTAATGCACGCTGGCTATTTTCATGCCGTGAAGGTGTAGAGTGTCTTTAATGTTGTCTATCCATTTTTTCACGGCCGTCCTCTTGCTCTTGTAGCTGATCTTCTGAGATGTGGTGCCTGTGATGAAACTGTCTATTTGCACTTATAGTTATGTTTCATGCCGTGAAGGTGTAGAGTGTCTTTAATGTTGTCAATCCATTTTTTCACGGCCGTCCTCTTGCTCTTGTAGCTGATCTTCTGAGATGTGGTGCCTGTGATGAAACTGTCTATTTGCACTTATAGTTATGTTTGGATATCTTAATAGTGGTAATAATTGGTATATAAATACGCTTACTTTCTGACATCTGGCTTCCATTTCTGTGTCAGTTCTACCATCTTCTGTACACTATAGTACATTATAGTCCTATGTAGTCAATTCATAGTTAGTGCGTATTTGTGTATGTGTGCTGTGTTGTTCATGTGCTGGTGAATGCTAATCGCCGCAACGTCCCTTGTTTGTTCATTGTGATCAATTTTGTAAAGCTGACATAATCTTTTTGTTTTTTCTAACCCCTCCCCCTTTGTTCCCTCTTCCCTATAATTTCCTACCCCTTTCAGTACTACCAACTCCTGTGATCACACTTCCTAGATAATTAAATTCCCTAACTTGATTCAGACTACATCCTTTCAGCTGTATAAAGGTTTGATGAAGTGTAATTTTTTTTAAACGAAATTTCTCCATTCAGGTTTGAGCTATGGAACATTCGTGGAAAGGCTTGCTTCTAATGTCCAGCGCGCCACCAAACATCCGGTGCTACTAGTCACTTACGGCCGCAGTGGCTCCACGTTCACGTCTGCACTCATCAACCACCACAAAGACGTGTTCTTTATCTTTGAGCCGTTGGTGCCGCTAAATCTGACATCGACCAAGTGAGTATGTACCCGCTCATTCATTAACAGATATCAAACTAAAGGGAAAGTAGAACTAGTCATCTTCACGTTATCACAAATGACAAGTTAACGTTTCGGCTATGTCAGAACATTACATTAATAGACACGTCACACTTACGAGCCTATATACACAAAAATCACTTAACCGGAGTATCTCCAAGAGGAATCCACATGTCAATTTGGCCAGTTGAAGTTCTGACACGCGTGTGAACACACACAAAAAATTCACTTTTCCTGCAGTAACGTGTGCCATCTTTTGTTGTCTTCCGCCTGTTGAACAAGTGTACAATACTTTAGTCATGTCCATTTCTTGATATTGTAATTCCAGGTTCTTCTTTGCCCCTCTACCCTCCCCACCAGAAGATCCTAGCTTTCTTTCTAGGAGTACCGACCAATCCATGTCTGTTTGGTGAGTGTGTGTGTGTGTGTATATATATATATATATATATATATATATATATATATATATATATATATATATATATATATATACTGTTTATACACAACGGTTCTCCATCTATTATTTATGCAGCTTATAACAACGAAAAAACACGAGAGTCGTATTCCGCAAAGTTTGGACAAAACCCTAACCATTATCCTCTCCTTCTCCCCGTGTGGGTTCCGGGGCTCCATTGTGGGGGGGGGGGGGCTGGACCTACTGCCCCTCCAATAAGTATGTCAGAAGAGCCGACTAACCTGGATCTTCCTTTGCAGTCCGAGTGCATCTGCCCGAGTGGCAAGAATCAACCTGCTGCCCACACATAAGCCAGTAAAACGGATGTACACGCAAAACACAGGTCCTGGTACAAAGCCAAAGTCCAGATGGACACATAACTGAGACTTTCCGCTGGAGCTTACAGCCGCTATAAAAATAAGAAGAAGAGGAACCGCTTCTTAGTGGAGTGAGGTGAAACTAATGTTAGTCTCTTCATTGACACAGTGTTACACACTAGCTCACTTCTAGTTGGTAGACCTTAGCACAAGGTTACGGGGGTTTTCCACAATGCCACTGATATCGCGTGTTGTATATTTCAGCACGCCCGCCCTTTTTTAACACTCCAAAAACAGGACTAACTGGATGTAACACAACTCCGCTAGAGAGTGCTGCAGCCTATGTCACAGGCATTCTCTTTCTCGGAAGAAAAAAATGTAAATGCAAGACAACCCAGAAAGCAAAAAACAGAGCGGCACACCCGTAACCTGCAGGAAAGTAGACCAACCCAACAAATTTATCAATGAAACATGACCTACTTTGTTTGGGAAGACTAACGTAAAACTAACCGCAGAGCGACTTACCCACTCCACCTACCGTTCTTTTTATGTCAATCATAACATGTCTATTTCTCTATTACATTTACTGTTTCTACGACTTCACTGTCTTTTTATTTCTGCACGTTATAACAATCATCATCATCATCACCAACATCATCAGGCAGCAGGCCCTTTGCAGAAAGTCGCTATCATGACGATCTGTCAGAAAAACTATCTCGCCTCATGTATATTCAAGGAGTCACCTATAATCATGTGCCCATCTTCGTGTGGGTCGGCCACTGCCGCTCCTTCCTGGTACCATGCCTTCTGCTAATATTTATTCCCCCCAAGGCGCTTGATATGACCAATAAATTTCAGTTTCCAAGACAAGATGCTGTTTATTAGCCAAACTTCCTGATGTTCAAACTTCCCCCCCCCCACCCCCAATGTTTCTAATTATAACAATAACGAACCCTTTTCCATCCCTTTAGGAGTATTGGGCATTTAGAGTTAGATCTATCTTTTATCGACCAATCGGCACTCTGTGGGTGATGTGGTCAGCATCATGACGGCCGCCTTTACTTCCCAGTATATTTCCCACTCAAGGCTGGGTCCACCTAGGGGCAAAATCCTTTTTGAAAAGTCCTGCTCCTTTAGGACCCGAACCCACGACCTTCCAATCTAATACGCCCAGCTTCTGAGTTGAGTGCATGGCGTGACACTGTGAGCTACGTGTGTTTTTCGTTGGCACAGGAGCGGAGCAACTATGGGGTGACCCGTTTGCTATGAAGCGGAAACTAGGATTACCAGATTACCAATCTAATTAATTCGCTGTGTTGATCAAATCAAGTTTGTAAAGCAGCGACTATTTCTCGTTGTGTCCCCTTGTTGAATCGACAACATTGATCAATTTGTTGATCAGTGTTCCCCATGAAATAAATCTGAAGAAATTTGTAATCTGCGTCGGGCAGTGGTAGTAAGGAGCCAGCACGATGATAAATCTGGCCTTGCACTTTAAATGTCGGCATGTAATTCTCGCGCACAATATTTATTGCACCGAATGATGTCATTTGGAAACATGAATTGTATTTGCGAATGTTTGCCAAGAAATGTTTCGACTGGCTTGTGTCACCTGCTACCAATGATGATAATGGTTCGGGTGTTGATTGTAATACTGGCAATTTAACTTTTCCATTTAACTTTGAAGGCGAATGTCAAGCTTCTACTCCATGACTTCCTTATTATACAACATGAAAAACGTATTCTGCAGCTACCAGAGTCAGGACTATTACCCGCTACTTCATGGAATATAATCTCTCCGCCCCAACTGGCCTTCTATCTATGAGTGCCAATCAATACATGTCAATCTATTTACATATACTTTTTCTGCGAGCTCAAGGTTTCATAAATGTTGATTTCTTCACGGTAAATAATAACAACTCAAACAAACGTATTCTGCAGCTACCAGAAACAGAATGAAAGCACAGCCATTATCCGTGCCTTCATCGAGTGTGACTTCTCGTTGGAGCTGTCCATTTTCCTTGACAACTTCCAGTTCCATTATTTACAAGACACAAGCGAATTTTATGACTGTCTCCTGTCAAAGGTGAGCTCTTGAATGTGTGTTAATTTTGTTTCCGCGGGAGCATAGGTCTGTGTTGTTGCTACTGAATTAGTATAGTTCATTCGTTTTGGTTAAGTATATTCTTGTTTATGTCTCTGGTGCACGATTCAACCCCCCCCCCCCAACCTAGTTTGAGTCTTGATATCGCTCCTGACTTGCTTGCCTTCTCTTTCCATTCCCCCTCTCTCTCAGTCTTAATATCGCTCCTGACTTGCTTGTTTTCTCTCTCGGTTTCTCCCCTCTCTCTCAGTTTTGATATCGCTCGTCACTTATTTGTTTTCTCTATTTCTCCCCTCTCTCTCAGTCTTGATATCGCTCGTGACTTGCTTGTCTTCTCTTTCTATTTCTCCCTCTCTCTCATTCTTGATATCGCTCGTGACTTGCTTGCTTTCTCTATTTCTCCCTCAGTCTTGCTTATCGCTCGTGACTTGTTTTCTCTCTCTATTTCTTCCGTCTCTCTCAGTCTTGATATCGCTCGTGACTTGCTTGCCTTCTCTCTCTATTTCACCACTCTCTCTCAGTCTTGATATCGCTCGCGACTTGCTTGCCTTCTCTTTCTCTCTCTATTTCTCCCCTCTCTCAGTCTTGAAATTGCTTGCATTCTCTCTCTATTGCTCCTCTCTCTCTCTCTCTCTCTCTCTCTCTCTCTCTCTGTCTTGATATCGCTCGTGATGTGCTTGCTTGTCTTCTCTTTCTGTTTCTCCCATCTCTCTCAGTCTTGATATCGCTCGTAACTTGCTTCTTTTCTCAGTTGCTTCCCTCTTTCTAAGTCTTGATATCGCTCGTGACTTGCTTGTTTTCTCTATTTCTCCCCTCTCTCAGTCTTAATATCGCTCATGACGTGCTTGTTTTCTTTCTCTATTTCTCCCCTATCTCCCAGTCGTGATTTCGCTTGTGACTTGCTTGTTTTCTCTATTTCTCCCCCCTCTTTCGATATTGATATCGCTCGTGACTTGCTTGCCTTCTCTCTCTATTTCTCCTCTCTCTCTCTCAGACTTGATATCGCTCGTGACTTGCTTGTTTTCTCTATTTCCTCCCCTCTCTCAGTCTTATATAGCTCATGGCGTGCTTGTTTTCTCTCTCTATTTCTCCCCCTCTCTTGGTCTTGATATCGCCCGTGACTTGCTTGATTTCTCTTTCCATCTGTCCCCTCTCTCATTCTTGATATCGCTCGTGACTTGCTTGTTTTCTCTCTATCTCCCCCCTCCCCAGTCTTGATATCACTCGTGATTTGCTTGCTCTCTCTCTCTCTCTCTCTACCCCTTTCTGCATCTCTCCCCTCTCTCTAAGTCTTGATATCGCTCGTGACTTGCTTCTTTTCTCTCTCTATTTCTCCCCCTCTGTCAGTCTTAATATCGCTCATGACGTGCTTGTTTTCTTTCTCTATTTCTCCCCTTTCTCTCAGTCGTGATTTCGCTTGTGACTTGCTTGCCTTCTCTCTCTCTATTTCTCCTCTCTCTCTCTCTCTCTCTCTCTCAGTCTTGATATCGCTCGCGACTTGCTTGTTTTCTCTATTTCTCCCCTTCTCTCAGTCTTGATATACCCCCGTGTGGGTTCCGGGGCCCATTGTGGGGAAAACAAGAATAGACCCACTGCCTCCCCAAAAGCATGTCGTAAGAGTCGACTAATTGGGAAGCTTCCTTTGAAGTCGGAGTGCATCTGCCGGAGAGGCAAGGAACCAACAGTCTGTATTCAAGAGAATGAGATCTGTAAAACTGATGCACACGCAACACTCAGGTTCTGGAGCAGGACTGCAGTTCAGTAATGGACGAGCAACCAGAACCTTCCGCCAGAGTTTACAGCTGGTGAACGTGAAGAAGAAGAAGAAGTCTTGATATAGCTCATGACGTGCTTGTTTTCTCTCTCTATTTCTCCCCGCTCTCTCAGTCGTAATATTGCTGGTGACTTGCTTGTTTTCTCTCTCTATTTCTCCCCCTCTCTTGGTTTTAATATCGCTCGTGACTTGCTTGATTTCTCTTTCCATCTGTCCCCTCACTAATTCTTGATATCGCTCGTGACTTGTTTGTTTTGTCTCTCTATTCCCCCCCCCCCCCCCCAGTATTGATATCGCTCGTGATTTGCTTGCTTTCTCTCTTATCCCTCTCTGCATCTCTCCCCTCTATCTAAGTCTTGATATACTTGTGATCTCTCGTGACTTGTTTTCTTTCCCCCTCTATTTCTCTGTCTTGCTATCGTTCAAGGTCTCTCTCGACGTAGATCTGTCTCTGTCTCTCTTTCTTGTTATCGTTTATGCATTAGACATACAATCTTGCATTAAACCCACAATCATACATTAAAACACAATCATGCACTAAACACAGTCAGTCCTGCATTAAATCCACAATCCTGCATTACACCCACAATCCTGCATCAAGCACACAATCTTGTCCAATCACAGAGAAGTGGCATACAGCATGTAAGCTGTTACATCAAATTCTTGAAAGATTGTCAGAGCCACAACACGATTCTGGTCAAGACAATCCGCTTCCGGGTCAGTTGGGCAGAGACGTTTTTGAAAGAAAATCCACAGTTTAAATTGTTGTATTTAATCAGGTGAGCAAATTTAAATCACTAACGCGTATTGTATCAAACTAGCCTCATGTCACACAATTCCCTTTTTTCATGTCAAACCATTATCTCCTATCATGTCAAACCGTTAACCCACATATCTCCACCCAGTTAACATGTGCAGTGTCAAACAGTTAACCCATATCATGTCTAACAGTTAACTCGAGCTGTGTCAAACCATTAACTCATATCAATCATGTCAAACATTCACTCATGTCATGTCAGATCATTAAGTCATACATGTCAAACCATTAACTCATACCATGCCAAACCATTAACTTGTATCGAGTCAGATCATAAAGTCATAACCATTAACTGTTATCATGTCAGATCATTAGGTTGTAACATGTCAAACAATTTCTGGTATCATGCCAGATCATTAAGTCATAGCATGTCAAACCATTTACTGGTATAATGTAAAATCATTCAGTCGTACATGCTGAACTATTAACTCTTATCATGCAAAACATTTAACTTATATCATCTTGATCCATTAACTCATATCATGTCAAACATTTAACTTATATCATCTTGATCCATTAACTCATATCATGTCAAACATTTAACTTATATCATCTTGATCCATTAACTCATATCATGTCAAACATTTAACTTATATCATCTTGATCCATCAACTCATATCATGTCAAACATTTAACTTATATCATCTTGATCCATCAACTCATATCATGTCAAACATTAACTCGTATCATATCAGACCATTAACTCCTACCATGCCAAACCATTATTTTGTATCATGTCAAGCATTACCTCATATCATGTCAGATCAATACGTTGCACCATGTCAAACCTTTAACTGGTATCATGTCAAACCAAGAACTCGCGTCACGTTAGATCATTAACTCGTATCATGTCAGATCGTTAAGGCGTAACATGTCAAACTAATAACCTGTATCATGTCAGATCATTAACTCGTACCATGTCAAACTATTAACTCATACCCTGTCAAACCATTAACCTGTATAATGTCAAAGAGTTAGCTTGTATAATGTCAAACCATTTGTCACAATCTGCTCTCCTGGTACCTGCTGCTTTTTCGATACAATGATTTAGTTCTTCTCCTTTTCATCATCATCCAACTCTGCCTTTTTTCTTTTTCCTCCACTTCTTCTGACGCTTTCTTATTCATCCTCGTCGTAAACTTCATCTTCTTGCTCCTCTAATTCTTCCTTCTGTTTTCTTTTCCTCCTCCTCCTCCTCCTCAGAACTCAAGTCCAATCCCTGTTTGTTCAACAAGATTATCTCTCTCACCACAGTTCAACACAGATTATCTCACTCTCACCACAGTTCAACAAGATTATCTCTCTCACCACAGTTCAACACAGATTATCTCACTCTCACCACAGTTCAACACACATTATCGCACTCTCACCACAGTTCAACAAGATTATCTCTCTCACCACAGTTCAACACAGATTATCTCACTCTCACCACAGTTCAACACAGATTATCTCACTCTCACCACAGATTATCTCACTCTCACCACAGTTCAACACAGATTATCTCACTCTCACCACAGTTCAACACACATTATCTCACTCTCACCAGTTCAACACAGATTATCTCACTCTCACCACAGATTATCTCACTCTCACCACAGTTCAACACAGATTATGTCACTCTCACCACAGTTTAACACACATTATCGCACTCTCACCACAGTTCAACACAGATTATATCACTCTCACCACAGTTCAACACACATTATCTCACTCTAACCACAGTTCAACACAGGTTATCTCACTCTCACCACAGTTCAACACACATTATCTCACTCTCACCACAGTTCAACACACATTATCTCACTCTCACCACAGTTCAAGACACATTATCTCACTCTCATCACAGTTCAACACAGATTATCTCACTCTCACCACAGTTCAACACAGATTATCTCACTCTCACCACAGTTCAACACACATTATCTCACTCTCACCACAGTTCAACACAAATTAGCTCAATTTCACTACAGTTCATTAAACATCTCACTTTCACCACAGCTTAACACATCTTAGCCCACTTTCACCAGTCCAGTAAACATTATCCCACTTTCATCACAATTCCGCAAACATTATCTTACTTTCATGACAAATCAACACACATTATCTCAGTTTCACCATAATTCAACACACTTTACATCACTTTCATTATGATTCGACTTCCGGTCAAAATGGACGCTAGGCACAGCCACTGTTTTGAGTCGTGGCAAACTGTTTGCTTCTGCCAGACGGTAGCTGTTACATTTTTGCTCCATTTGTAGACTGAAAGGATATAGTTTCTATGCCCAGCTGCTGAATTTTGTGCACAGTGCAACACTGTGAGCTGCGGATTTGATTTTCAATGTTTTTCTACTGTGACCAACGTGGTGGTGTACATTGCAGATTCAGAAAATGGTGCAATGCCTGTTGTCGCAATAATAGTGGTGCCATTATGTGATTAAAATTGATCGCATGTAAAACTGCTGATATGTTGGTGACCTGCTACAATTGATGATGAACTGCATTTCTAATGTCGAACTGTTTGTGTTAGCACTTTGGATGGCTACCATATGCTTTTAATGCATGTTTATGCTAGTGCATATACTGAGACAGCAGTCTGTCAGCCTTTAAACAAGGGACTGTGATAAACATTCTGTGTATTTTTCGTTGGCACAGGAGCGGAGCAACTATCTTGGTGACCCATTTGCTATGAAGCTGAAACTTAGATTACCAAGATGCATTATGATTCAAAATACAGTAGCTCCCTTTCATTACAATTAAACACACAGTATCTCCCTTTCATTACAATTAAACACAGTATCTCCCTTTCATTACAATTAAACACACAGTATCTCCCTTTCATTACAATTAAACACACAGTATCTCACTTTCATTACAATTAAACACACAATATCTCACTTTCACTGTGATTCAACATCTCTTGCATTTGACCTAACTCTATCCCCAGGGATCCGAGAGCCACTTTATTTTCCCAAGCTCAGTTATTCAACGAGTTTTTGTGGCCATCTGGGATCATCAATGCATCCAAAACTTACTGCGCAATATTGGACGATGATCTGAAGGAGATAGTTCGACTGGCAAATCTTTACCCTGGACGAGTGAAAGGAATTCGGTACGAAAACGGCGCCACAGACCCTTTTACTTACACAAAGGACATTTATAAATTTTTGGGACTGGGGTATGACGACCAAGTGGCTTCATTTATCGAGAATATAACTACAGCTTCTGCAGACGCACCAGATGTGGAAGGTGCTTACAGCGTGATTCGGCAAAATTCGACTCAGGCAATGAACAAATGGAGGAACAAATCAGATTTTGAAAGTATTCGAATAATTGACTCTATTTGTGGGTTTATGTATTCAAAATTAGGTTATAAATTTGTGGAGTCACATAGTGACCTCCGGTCGTCCAGAGATTTATTTGGTTCACCTGAATTGATTATATTTCAGTAAATTTCACCATTTTAGAAAAAAATATATCAGTAAAGGTTGAGTAAGGAAAAAACAAACAATAAGTCGCACAATTTGTGCATTGTACATGTCCTGTATCTTGTCAGGTAAATTCTACAGTAAGCTGTAGTAACATATATACAGTAACAAGTGAATAAGATGAAGCAAATACAACGGAACTCCAATAATGTTTTACAAAATTTTTTCTCCCCAGTTTTGTCATTAAATTTGTGTTTTATTTTCGCCTGAAAAGTCAACATTTGTCCCTCCTCCGACCGAAGTGGCCGACGAGGAGGCCCAGAGAACAGACCTCCCAACACAAGAGCTACTCGAACTTTGTACAGAACAGGAAGCTTAAGAGAAATTTCACTAAACGAGGAAAAAGAAAACAGCCGGCCGGTTTCTAGTGCTGAAATTATTGGATGGCTGATTGTTTTCACTAAAATGGAGCAGCGGAACCCACACAGGTGTTTTAAGTTGTTTTCACTAAAATGGAGCAGCGGAACCCACACAGGTGTTTTAAGTTGTTTTCACTAAAATGGAGCAGCGGAACCCACACAGGTGTTTTAAGTTGTTTTCACTAAAATGGAGCAGCGGAACCCACACAGGTGTTTTAAGTTTAAAATTTGGGGTCGCCTTATACACGGAATGTGATTAGAGTAGTTATTTCTTCATTTAGGGCCAAAATAAAATATACATGGAGGTGTATTAAACATGGAACAATACGTTATTTTAAAATACAAGGAGCTCAGATATTGACCATTGTAAACTTCCCAGGTGGGTTCCGGTGGCCCTGTGTGGGGGAAAACAAGAATAGACCCACTGCCTTCTCAACAAGCATGTTGTAATAGCCGAATAACTGGGAATTCCTTCGAAGTCGGAGTGCATCTGCCCAAGCGGCAAGGAACAACCAACTGCACACAAATAAGCCAGTAAAATGGATGTACATGCAAAACTCAGGCCCTGGCACAAAGCCAAAGTCCAAACTGAAAAACAACTAGGACTTTCTGCCGGAGCTTATAGCCAGTAAACAAAGAAGAAGAAGAAGAAGATCGCTGTAAACTAGACATTCATGGACAGAAGTCAAGAGTAATTACATGTTGGTACTAAATGGGTTAAAAGGCTGGATGACAAACTGTGTTGTGGTTTACAGTTAGGATGTGGTCTGCACCTTTCATCCAAACACATCCGGCTAAACAAATTCGTAGCCTTTTATGACATGTTTGTTAAGGGGCCGTGAGTTTATTCTCATCCCCAATCCCAAAATAAGCCCAGGAACCATTCGCGGAACCTAGTGCAATGAAATCCATTCCCTCTACTTGAAATCTTTTGTCTCACTATTTTCATTTGGTCAGCAAAATACTGACAAAATCTGGCCACTCTAGTGGAAATTTGTGTTATTTTTTTCTACACTGAAAAAAGCTGCAATAATTTACTTTATGAAATGTTATTGTTTACAGACTGAGATTTGTTTTATTTCAGATTTCTGGAAGTCACCTACAAAAATGAAAGATATAATTACTACATAATTAAAATATAATACTTTAATGTTTATGTGCATATTGTTCTGTGTATTTGCTCCCACATTTTATTAACTATATATGTCAACTGATGTCATTCTTCTTAGTAAATCTGGAATTTTACAACATTAATGGATATCATTATTTAAATTAAAAGAAAAAAAAAAAACATGATGTGCCATCTCCTCAGCGAAAGTTGGCTACAGTGTAACACGGGGTATGTTACATGCACTACCCCCTCCCCCCAGTCTCTTATACACTGGGTATGTTACATGCACTACCCCCCCCCCTTAGTCTCTTATACACTGGGTATGTTACATACACTACCCCCTAGTCTCTTATACACTGGGTATGTTACATGCACTACCCTCCCCTCATCTCTTTTACACTGGGAATGTTACATGCACTACCCCCATCTCTTATACACTGGGTATGTTACATGCACTACCCCCCCCCCATCTCTTATACACTGGGAATGTTACATGCACTACCACCCCCCCCCCCCATCTCTTATTCCCTGGGTATGTTACATGCACTACCACCCTCCACATCTCTTATACACTGGGAATGTTACATGCACTACCCCCCCCCATCTCTTATACACTGGGAATGTTACATGCACTACCCCCCCCCCCCCATCTCTTATTCCCTGGGTATGTTACATGCACTACCACCCTCCACATCTCTTATACACTGGGAATGTTACATGCACTACCCCCCCCCCCCCAGTCTCTTATACACTGGGAATGTTACATGCACTACCACCCCCCCCCATCTCTTATACACTGGGAATGTTACATGCACTACCACCCTCCACATCTCTTATACACTGGGAATGTTACATGCACTACCCCCCCCCCCCCATCTATTTTATACACTGGGAATGTTACATGCACTATTCCCCCCCCCCATCTCTTATACACTGGTAATGTTACATGCACTACCCCCCCCCATCTCTTATACACTGGGAATGTTACATGCACTACTACCCCCCCCCCCCATCTCTTATACACTGGGAATGTTACATGCACACTACTACCCCCCCCCCATCTCTTATACACTGGGAATGTTACATGCAATACCCCCACCCCCCCCCATCTCTTATACACTGGGAATGTTACATGCACTACTACCCCCCCCCTCCCCATCTCTTATACACTGGGAATGTTACATGCACTACCACCCCCCCCCCCAATCTCTTATACACTGGGAATGTTACATGCACTACTACCCCCCCCCCCATCTCTTATACACTGGGAATGTTACATGCACTACCACCCCCCCCCCCCATCTCTTATACACTGGGAATGTTACATGCACTACCACCCCCCCCCCCCCCCCAATCTCTTATACACTGGGAATGTTACATGCACTATCCCCCCCCCCCCCCATCTCTTATACACTGGGAATGTTACATGCACTACTACCCCCCCCCCCCCATCTCTTATACACTGGGAATGTTACATGAACTACCACCCCCCCCCCCCATCTCTTATACACTGGGAATGTTACATGCACTACACCCCCCCCCCCATCTCTTATACACTGGGAATGTTACATGCACTACCCACCCCCCCCCCCCCCATCTCTTATACACTGGGAATGTTACATGCACTACTACCCCCCCCAATCTCTTATACACTGGGAATGTTACATGCACTACTACCCCCCCCCCCCATTTCTTATACACTGGGAAAGTTACATGCACTACTACCACCCCCATCTCTTATACACTGGAAATGTTACATGCACTACCACCCCCCACCTATCTCTTATACACTGGGAATGTTACATGCACTACCACCCCCCCCCCATCTCTTATACACTGGGAAAGTTACATGCACTACTACCACCCCCATCTCTTATACACTGGGAATGTTACATGCACTACTACCCCCCCCCCCCCCCGTCTCTTATACACTGGGAATGTTACATGCACTACCACCCCCCCATCTCTTATACACTGGGAATGTTACATGCACTACCACCCCCCCCCCCCATCTCTTATACACTGGGAATGTTACATGCACTACCACCCCCCCCCCCCCCATCTCTTATACACTGGGAATGTTACATGCACTACCCCCCCCCCCCCCATCTCTTATACACTGGGAATGTTACATGCACTACCCCCCCATCTCTTATACACTGGGAATGTTACATGAACTGCCCCCCCCCATCTCTTATACACTGGGAATGTTACATGCACTACCACCCCCCCCCCCATCTCTTATACACTGGGAATGTTACATGCACTACCCCCCCCCATCTCTTATACACTGGGAATGTTACATGAACTGCCCCCCCCCATCTCTTATACACTGGGAATGTTACATGCACTACCCCCCCCCCCCCATCTCTCTTTTACACTGGGAATGTTACATGCACCCCCCCCCCCCCCCTATCTCTTATACACTGGGAATGTTACATGCACTACCCCCCCCCCATCTCTTATACACTGGGAATGTTACATGCACTACCACCCCCCCCCCATCTCTCTTATACACTGGGAATGTTACATGCACTACCACCCCCCCCCCCATCTCTTATACACTGGGAATGTTGCATGCACTACTACCCCCCCCCCCCCTCCCAGTCTCTTATACACTGGGAATGTTACATGCACTACCACCCCCCCCCCCATCTCTTATACACTGGGAATGTTACATGCACTACCCCCCCCCCCATCTCTTATACACTGGGAATGTTACATGCACTACCACCCCCCCCCCCCATCTCTTATACACTGGGTATGTTACATGCACTACCACCCCCCCCCCATCTCTTATACACTGGGAATGTTACATGCACTACCACCCCCCCCCCCCCCCATCTCTTATACACTGGGAATGTTACATGCACTACCACCCCCCCCCCATCTCCTATACACTGGGAATGTTGCATGCACTACTACCCCCCCCCCTCCCAGTCTCTTATACAATGGGAATGTTACATGCACTACCAACCCCCCCCCCCCCTCCCCCCCCATCTCTTATACACTGGGAATGTTACATGCACTACTACCACCCCCATCTCTTATACACTGGGAAAGTTACATGCACTACCACCCCTTCCCCATCTCTTATACACTGGGAATGTTACATGCACTACCACCCCCCCCCCCATCTCTTATACACTGGGAATGTTACATGCACTACCACCCCCCCCCCTCCCATCTCTTATATACTGGGAATGTTACATGCACTACCACCCCCCCCCCCTTCTCTTATACACTGGGAATGTTACATGCACTACTACCCCCCCCCCCCTCTCTTATACACTGGGAATGTTACATGCAACCAGCCCCGCTCCTCAACCTCTTATACACTTGGAATGTTGCATGCACTACCAGCCCCGCTCCTCAATCTCTTATACACTGGGAATGTTACATGCACTACCAGCCTCGCTCCTCAATCTCTTATACACTGGGAATGTTACATGCACTACCAGCCTCGCTCCTCAATCTCTTATACACTGGGAATG